GGGGGGGGGGGGGGGGGGGGGGGGGGGGGGGGGGGGGGGGGGGGGGGGGGGATAGTCGTAGCCGTGCATGCCGTAATTGTCAGAAACATTGACCCTGCATCCCCACAAAGCCGGGACGGAGCACGCCGGGTCCTCACCTGACCAGGCGAGCACACCACCGAGTGCGAAGCGCCGTGAGGTATTCGGCGAGTCGCACGCCGGGATGGGGGAGCGTATGGGAAAGATGTGTCGATGTCGTTTGTCGTGCGGTGCGATTGAGGATGACCATCCTACGTTGTGGTTAGAATTGGCGGGAGCATGTGTTCGGGTGTGCCATGCAGATGTCTGCAATACCATGTAGCACCTTTCCTGGGGCCATACACAGCGACATAGCTGTTCCTTGAAAACCCTATCCGCGATTCCTTCATGGTCATGTCTGATTCTGGTCGATACTGGTCAGCAGCACGATAGCACATGTTCCTGTTTACTGATGAGGAGTTTGAGGCACACTTCTGCTGACCGCGGGCCAGTGACTGCTTCCGTGATGCGGCGACTTGCCCTCGTTTGCCTATTTGGGCACCACTGCCTGATCGCGACACTGGCATCACCCCCCACCTCGTCCGTTCATGTTGGCGAGTTCACTTTTCGTGTTCGTTTCCAGCACCAAAATTTTCGTCCTTTTCGCCCCCGCCGCGCTTTGGATGACCTCTCCGGTATCGTGTCACGGCAGGGTTTGAAGGCCGCGCGGCCAGCCCAAAGCCTGTCTCGGTTACCTGTAGCGGTTGTCAAGTCCATGCTGCAGAAGAACATCAGGCGTGGGAGAGCGGAGGCGGCTGTACGATGTGCGTTGGAGCTGGCGCTCAAGAGCTGGAGCGATGCCATTCGCCGGTAAGAGCTGTCTTCAGGTTGTCTTCGAGGCGAAGGAATGCGGATAGTGGTGTGTTGAAGCCGACCTCTTAATACTAGCAGGTTTGCGGAGGACGGAGTCGAATTCGCGACTTCCGATACACGATTGTCTAAGAAATTGCAACATCATGAGCAAGGACTATCTTTTGTGCTAGGGAGTATTTCGCATTACGACAGGCACACGTCAGCTTCCTCCCCGCCGCCCGTCCTCTTTTTCGGCATCGCGTTTCTCTGAGTACATAATTGGAGTGCTCATGTTTGTCCCATCCTTTTCTCATGCTATTTTGTAGGGTGCTGGTGATTACCGTGGAGGACTCTCTGCTGCACCCCGCCGCGCCGCTCCTCACCTGGCTCATGGTCGCCACATCCAAAGGCTACCGCCCACCGCCTCGACTGCTGGAGGCATTTCTCTGCGTGGTACACGAGACGGCGGCGTGCCCCGTGCGAGATTCAACCGATTCCTCCTGCCGTCGCCGCCGTGGGGGTAGCAGCAGCACGTGCGTGAGCAACGGACACCACCGCGAAGCGGGGTTTTCCATCTCATCAGCGGCCAGGACCGATCAAGACCCGGAACGACAGCAGCTGCCGGTCGAGAAAAAATGTTTTGACGCTGACGAGTTCCCGGTACCGCACCCAAAAAGTCTGCTGGTTCCTGCTAGTCAAGGTGCTCACGTTCATGTTCATGGGAGCAACACCAAGGCGCCAGCAGTAGCAGCAGCAGCCGCCGCCGCAGCAGCAGCAGCAGCAGCAGCAACAACAACAAACGCTGCCATCGCTGTGGCAAACATCCGGCGCGCTTTGCTCATGCGCGTGTCCTACGGGGGCATGGCATTCGACCAAGCGCTCCTGAAGGGGGTATGCCTGGCCTGGGGAGAGCGCTGTGGACACTGCTACTACTGCTGCTGCCGCGGTGCGGTTCATCCCTCATTCACCCTTACTGTTGCTGCTGCTGCCACGGCTGCCTCTGTCGATGGAAGTACCGGCGGCAGCAACCCCTCATGCCTCGAGGGCGAGAAAGCCTCTACTTCAGGGGAAGGCACGATATTTGCAAAAGGGAGCGGTTCCACAGACAACAAACCCGTCACACCGCAGCGCCAACCACCCAGCCCGCCACACGTCGACCACAAGACGTTTTCATTCGCCAGACCCCGTGACCAAGATGCTGGCAAAGCCAATCGTGAGGACCTTGTTGACATCCTGCAACCGTTCGGATACGCCCATGAGAGCGTGCGTTCGGCCTTGGAGGGTAACGGATGGACGGCTTTTCTTGTGGCAGCTCATGCCGGAACCGGGATGCCGCCGGCCTTACGCACGCATCTCTTGGCGCATGTTGTTGGTGTGGGGTCTGGAAGAGCGGGAGAGCGGACGGGAAACATGAGGCAGAAGTCGTCAGGTGGAGGAGGAGGAGCAGGAGGAGGAGGGGGAGGAGGAGAAAAACGCTTGACAGCTGCAAGTACGTCCACACACCCCATCTGCCTCGGTCCCATCATCCGAGAGGCCGATGCCATTCTGAGCGGCGTGGATTTCCACTGCAGCGGCGTTCTCGACGAGCTCTTGCGGTCGACAGCGGTGGCCGCGAGGGTAGGGAAAGCGATCAGCGAGTCTCGTGGACCGAGGAGCAACGGTGTTGGAGACGCTGAAAGTTCCGAGCTCGACCTTGTCGGCGTTAGGCAGGCCGCGAAGCAGGCCATGTGGGCCTGCTCCAGCGGAATAAACACCCGGAGACTTCGGGTGGCGTTTTTATGGGAGGCAGGAGAGGAGGGCGAGGAAACGGAGGTCGCAGAGGGTAACTGCGGGTGTTGCTTGTCAAGCCCAGGATATTTAGAGGAAACGGAGGGAATTGTTGGGGTGGGTGAGGATGGTGTTTCTTTGCCGGTGGGGATTGCGGGTGGATCGTCTAGCGGCATGGACGCCAGGGTGTGGGCCGCAATGTCGTCGGATGTGTCGGGGTGGACCACTAAGTTCGTGCAGGGAAGACTGAGCAGGGGTTGAAGACAGTCCGCGGCAGCTGCACCATACTCACCAGCAGCGCTATCGTGGCGAGTGGACTGCTGCATTTCTGTCCCTTTGAGGAAGTGAGGATTGGTTGGGGCTCTTTCTGTTGTTGATGCAAGTCAGAGAGGCGTCGCGCTGACACGGTCTTCTTGATATTTTCCACGTTGGCCCAGGTGGGCAATTGTTTAGGTTCGCCAGATTGCGAGCACAGCAGGGCAATGCTTTTGACCTTGTTCAGCTCACTGCCGTTCGAGAGGACTGGCTCGGTGTCAGAATGCGAGCGCAGCAGGGCAAAGCTTTTGACCTTGTTCAGCTCACTGCCATTTGAGAGGACTGGCTTGGTGTCAACGATGGTCAATACTAGAGGCAGGCAGCAGTGGTGAACTTAACTGTTGTTCATGGACTGCAGCGTGTCGTGTTTATGGCGGCCTGGAGCTACAAGAATGGCTACTACAGGGGTTTCACGAAAGGCAATGTAGACAAGCACCTGCTATTGTATAGGGAGAGAGTTGGGTGGATCGGTGTAGGATACTGAGTTTTGCATCGGCATACCGTCAGCAATTATCCTTTTTGGGCTTGCTTCGTTTCGCGTGCACCATATCACATTTCCATTTTCCAACCCAAGATGTTTTATTTCACGCAAATCGCGGGTTAAAAGCGTCGCTCTTTGCGGATCTACACAAAATTTTCGGCGGGTTTCTCTGAGAGTAAACCGACGCCAAAGCCGCGGGAACCGTGATTTGTCCGGAGTGAATCAATCTCCCCAGCAACAGCAGTGTTAAGGTTAATTAAGCAGCCCCGGACGTGAATTTCCAAAGAAAAGAAAAACGCTTCATTCCGCTCCGTGACAGGAAATTCTCTCAGTGGAGCACTTCTTGGTCAATATCATGCATAGTTTGCCTCGTTGGATCCAAGCTCCACGATCTCGCACGGTCCTGAGTTGGGGGCGAAAGCATGACTTCTCATCCGGTGATTTCAGAGCAAAATCACAAGTGCTCCGTGCAATGCAAATCTTGTCTCTGCAACAAAAATGCCTTCTGGAGCGAAGGAATGCGTGCAGAAATGGAGGAACCCTCGACAACATCGCACGCTCCGATGAAAAGAGAGCACTCCTATTTCTTCCCCCTTCGAAACATTCGCGCCAAAAAACCGCTGCTGCCTTTACTGTCTCGTGGTGCCTCGCCTAGCGCCTGCTCTTTGTCTACAGCAGCTGCTGCTACTGCTGCATCTCCTGCCTGAGCCGAAGCGATACCCACCTCAGCTATCGGTTTCTGAACCGGTGAGGTGTCTTCCTCACCCGTTCGCTTAGGGTCCTTAAGGCTTCTGCTGCTGTTCTTGCTCCCGAAGATAGGAAGGGGGGATACTCTGTTGGCCTTGGGGTTGCTGGACATCGCTCTTGTCATCCTCACCGGTGCGGACACTGTCTCATCTTGTTGCGAATCTAGCGCGGTTGTTGCATCCAGGGTGGTGTTGTTTTCTTCCCTCTGCTCTTCTGACGCTGCCGAGAGCGCGCTACTAGATGCACCGAGATTGTCGTCTTCAACACCCTGGCCTCGAACGGAGGTTCCTTTTCCTTCTTCCGACAGGGCATTCGCTGCCGCGTAGCTGCTGCTTGATGACGATACCCCGCGCGACCAAGAGGAAGACTCCGATGTGCGCGAGTGCACCTCATGCATCGTGTCGTGCCTCGCAAGGTGACCCACATCGCCGGCTTCATCCCGCTCTAAGGGCAAACCCGTCGCTTTCTTCGCCGTTTCCTTCAAGTCGTGTTTCTCGGTGTTTGTCGCCAAGGGGTCAAAATCTGGTACCGTCGGCGTCGGCTGCACCGGAGGTGGTGGTAGCTTTACACGCTGTCGTATTTCTACTTCTGCGACAATTGGCTGCCCCCTGCCTGGCGCAGTGTCAGATGAACATCGTTTTCGATTTGCAATTCTTCCCGGGAGAATCTCGGAGATGCCTCCCTCTCCGAAACTTCCTCTTCCTTTGCTATCGCCGCCAGTGAAATTAGCCCCCTTGGTATGGCCTGTTGATTGAGCATGAAGAGCAGAGGATGCATCTTGCATACAAGTGATAACACGTGCAGTGTTTAGGGAGGGCAGGAGTTCGCCCTCTCCCGGTCTCGCGCCACCACAGTCGTTTGCGCGAAGCAAAATTTGTACCATAAGCTCCTCCCCTGCTTTCTGTGCTCGCCCACACGTCGACGATCTTTGGCCCCTTCGATGACGACGATGATGATGACGTTGGTGGTCTTCGCCTGCTCTCACAGCTGCCGCTACCGCGGCTCCCGTGCACCTCGGGGTCTCAGTTCCCCCTCTTCTGCCGTGCGTGCCAGTATTGGTTGAGCGGGTGCACTCCCCGAAGGCCATGCCCCCTTCCGCGACCGCAACGAGCGTCTCCGACGAGAAATCGCTGAACGGCAACAGCGGGAAGCTCCGCAGCATGAAGCACAGCATGTATATGGCTCCCGATGCGAGCGCTTCCGAAGCTGCTACCTCTCCCACGGGAGCGGCTGCGCCAAGACTAGCGTCCAACCTCCCCTTTGGCTTCTGACGGCCAGAGTACGAAACAGATTGAGCGACAGTCATGGCGTTGGTTTCCCCGCCATACGGACCCGACTGTCGGATTCCTCGCCGATCCCCGCTCCCCTCGATGCAGGTGGTGGCTTCGGCCGTCGGCCTGGGGCGACTCCACTGCACCAGACAAGGTATCCAACTAGCCAGAACGGAAGAAACCAACGCCGGCCCGACATCGGGGTGTCGGCAAGCGAAGTCTAGCAAGCGGAGTGCGAGCTGAGAACCATATCGCTTTTTGTCAGGGGCAGAGTCAAACCTCGTACCAGGTCGTTCTTTTTCCTCTTCTCCTTCAGCATTGTGGTGGGTCCACTGGTCCCCACCAGAGTCCCCTACGCCTCCAAAACTTGCACCGCGAGAGCACTTGCGTTCGAGCATATTGGAGTCAGATCGTTCGCGGTCACCCATGTGAGTTGAAGCAGAGCGGAGCCGGTGGCTGCTGTTGCTGACACCGACAGTCCCACGAGCGACCGCGCGCCCATCCTCGGGCGCTATCGGTGCTTTCCCTGCAACGTCTTCACAGGCTACCGGGATTCCGTCAGCCAAGTACGGTGCAACGCATGCCAAAATAATCTCCACCCCCCACCGCAGGTCCCTTAGCGGCACCAGGGCGTTAATCGTCGATGACGCTGTTTCGGAAGGACGCGTACCACCCGCCGCGCCTCTACGGACATACATGCTGGTTCCCTCTCGCGTTGACCGGGTTGGGGCGGAATCGCTTTGGATTTCGTGTTTCCGTTCGCCTCCGAAGTTTGTGGCACCCACGCTTACATCATCAACTCTTGTGATCCATACGCCGGTGCTTGCTTTAGCGCTTTCGCCTTCACTCGTGCCGTGAACTGGGGGTACTTTCGCATCGACATCAACACTGGTACCAAAATCCCCCTCGGCGATAGCACCAACATCAACTGCCGCCGTCGCCGCCGCGGCTGCCGCGGCCGCCGCCGCTTCAGCAGCACAACCCTCCTCCTTGTTCCAACTCGATTCATGCCCCTCGTCGACGAGCAAGGGTGGCGAAGACCACAGCGAGAGAGCTGACATTGCCAAGGACTCCCCGGCAAGGCGTGGACCATCGGCCGGGTCCATCAGCCCTTGTGCGGCAGCAAGGCACGCGGCCCTCACGACGGCACCCCTCGCACAGCTACTGCGATCACCGCTGCCACTATTGGCGTCGGCAGTGAGGCCTCGCTCTTGATCCGGGTTCGTCTCCGTAGCTTCCTTCTTGTCCTCCTTCGAGATGGTGCTTCGGCCGTTACTAAGATGGCCGGACATACTTGTTGTCGACGGTGAAGGCTTCAGGCAGCGTGATGAGGAGATGGTGTCGTTGGCAGTGACAGTGGCAGCGTTGTATGCTTCTACGGCGACTTTTGCCGTCAGCTCGAGATGCGCCAGACACAACCTGATGGACGTTTCCCGCATTATTGCCGGAAACCCGGCACACGCGGCGCTCATGGGCACCCTATGGAATACCAAGAGGGCAGAGCGGGTGTGTTGGTTTGGTTGCGTGCGCATTAGATCACAAGTCAAGTTATCATCAGCACCGTTGATGTCAAGGCGTTACTGTACCAAGTGTCGATCTTCTTACCCGACTTTCTGTTCGTTTAAAGAAAAACATCGATCTGCTCAGGTCGAGGTTTCGTCTTGGATTTACTGTACCTCCCGACAATAATTTCAAGTAGGGGGATGAACTCGGTGAACCCCCCGGCTCCAACAATGTCCGGGAGCACAGCAGGAGGGGGCGTTGGTGGTGCTGCTAGCGCTCCCACCGACGACCCGCTCTCATTGGTTGATGCCGCCGGCGCCTCCGCGGGCTTCAGCCCCCCCCCAGAAGAAGTATCTACCCCTTCATTTTCATCCCGCTTGGTTGAACGCGTCGGCGTCCTGTCCCCAGCTTCTTTCCCCCCACTTTCGCCGGTGCCATCACCGCCAACATCGTCGTACCCTGGCTTCCGTTCACGCTTGTGGGGGGCGTCACGTCTGTGTGCGTCGGCTTCCGTTCCCGTGATGGCGCCCTTCCTCGTGTTGGAGAAGGTCTTTCCTCCTGTAGAAGCTGAATGACGTCGTCGGTTTTCCCTACCAGCGGTGTCCCATTCGCGCTGGTGACGATTCCGGCAGAGAGCGGCGGACACGGCGACGTCTCCCCACGCTACCACGGGGTTATCTTCGATCCAGTTTATCACGTGGGTGGCTGACGGTGTGACGTCCGCTGCAGGGTGAGCGAAAGCTCGCCCCACATACCGTTGGTTTCGATCCCGTTCTGCTTCCCGGCGCTCGTCTGTCTGTCTGCCGTCAGTCTCATCCAAAGTTCGATTCCTGTCGTCTTGCGCATCTCGAACATTCCTCTCTATTGGTTGTTGGCTGCCGTTGATCGCGTCGTTTCCATTGCCATTCTTGGTTTTATTTTTCTCCGACCCACTCAGGTTACCCACACCCGCGTCCGAACCCTCACCCTCAGCGGGGCGGCACGAGAAGGTACATAAGGGAGGAAGCCCATCCGCTCTCCCCGCTCGTCGAAAGGGGGCCAGGTCTGGGGGCACCGGGCCCGGTGGTCGGAGGTCTTGGGACGCTTGAAATATGTAAGTGTTCGTGCAGGGGGGACAAGTGTCTTTATTGCATCTGAGCTAAGCAGGGGAAGTGGAGTGATTTCCACGCCACACGGCCTAGCCTAGTGTTCGGCAGCACAGCGTTCTACTTCTCGCAATACCGGGGGGCGGGCGCACGAGATAGTCGTTGTTATTTCGCGGCACGACGAGTAAACTACCTGGAGGTTTCGCTAGACTCATGAAGGGTGAAGCAGACTGAGACGGGGAGGGGTCCAAGAACGACAGCCTTGGAAAGAGAAGGAATCGAAAAACGGGACCCAGCACGAGGACATATCGACATGCAAACGGGTCGGAAGGTGTGATGTACACTCCTCTGTATCTATCGATGATTATGGGGTGTGTTCTACGTCC